TCCTTCTAATTTCTTTGGGGAGGGACTGATTCACATGCATGGTTTGTTTGTTTGTTTGTTTGTTTTTTAACTTATATTTGTGTTTATTTATAAAAACAAAATTTTTGTCTTCTTTTTTTAACTTTACTATAGTTTTCCCCAATATCCCTCCCTTTTACTCCCAGAAAATCATATAAAACCATATACCGTTGAACCATATAGAACCACATACTATATATAAAATGTATTTTAAAAGATAAAGAGGAATAAAGGATTCATTTCTAAAACATATAGAGAACTGAGTCAAATTTATAAGAATACGATTATTCCCCAATTGATAAATGATCAAAGGATATGAACAAATAGTTTTCAGATGAAGAAATTAAAGCTATCTATAGTCATATGAAAAAATGCTCTAAATCACTATTGATTGGAGAAATGCAAATTAAAACAACTCTGAGGTACCACCTCACACCTATCAGATTGGCTAATATGACAAAAAAGAAAAATGTTGCATTTTGGAGGGGATGTGGGAAAATTGTAACATTAATGCACTGTTGGTGGAATTGTGAAATGATCTAACCATTCTGGAGAGCAACTTGGAACTATGCCTAAAAGGCTATAAAACTGTGCATAACTTTTGATCCAGCAATACCACTACCAGTTCTGTATCCCAAAGAGACCAAAAAAAGGGGAAAGGGCCCACCTGTATAAAAATATTTACAGCAGCTCTTTTTGTGGTGGCAAAGAATTGGAAATTGAGGGGATGCTCATCAATTGGGGAATGACTGAACAAGTTGTTATATATACATGTAATGGAATACTATTGTGTTATACGAAATGATGAGAAGGTGGATTTCAGAAAAACCTGGAAAGACTTATATGAACTGAGGCTAAAGTGAGTAGAACCAAGAGAACATTGCACACAGTAACAGCAACATTGTGTAATGATCAACTTTGATGGACTTCGCTCTTCTCAGCAATACAATGATCTAAAATAATTCCAAAAGTCTTGTGATAGAAAATGTTATCCATATCCACAGAAAGAACTATGGAGTCTGAATACAGATTGAATCATACTATTTTCTCTTCTTTTTTTTCTTTCTCATGGTATTTCCCTTTTGTTCTGATTCTTCTTTCATAACTTGACTAACATGAAAACATGCTTACTATGATTGTACATGTATAGCTTATGTCAGACTACTTGCCATTTTGGGGAGGGAGGGAGAAAAATTTTGAAACTAAGAATCTTATAAAAGTGAATGTTGAGGGGTAGCTAGGTGGTGCAGTGGATAGAGCACTGGCCCTAAAGTCGGGAGGACCTGAGTTCAAATCTGGCCTCAGACACATAACACTCACTTAATTGTGTGACTCTAAGCAAGTCACTTAACCCCAATTGCTTCACACGCACACAAAAAAAGTGAATGTTGAAAACTATCTTTACATGTAATTGCAAAAAATAAAATACTAGTAAATGGGGAAAAATTAAAAGGGAAAAAGAAGAAAAAATCAGCATAATTGATCAATATATAAAAAAATTCTGAAAACATATGTTTGGTACAACATATGTAGACTTCTTATCTTTTCTTTCAGGACATGCTTGTTCTTTATAATTTTTCAACCTTCACTTTTTCTCTCATTTACATTGTTGTGGTTGTTGGGTATATTGTTTCCTTGGCTCACCTTATTTTACTCTGCATCAGTTCATATAGATCTTTCCATGTCTCTCCAAGTTCATCCCATTTATCATTTCTTACAGTAATATTCCATTATAATCAGTTACCACAATTTGATTAGTCATTCTCCAAGTGATGGGCATTTACTTTGTTTCCAATTCTTTGATATCACAAAGAATACTGCTAAAAATATTTTGGTGATTATTGGGACATTATTATCAATGGTATACTTGGGGTATAAGCCTAGTAGAAGAGTCTCTGGGTCAAAAGTATGAATAGGTATCAACTATAGAAAGGCAAGGGATGGTTATTACTCAGCCTTTGAAGAAGGAAGGGCCAGTACTTCAGCAGAGGCCCTTAAAGAGGCAACGATTTGGTATTATCTCCCTGATGAAGCCTTCAGGAAGGAGTTTTGTCAGGTAGGCCAGAAAATACCAAGAGCATGGTGGTACAGAGAGATCCTTGGTTTCAGTTTAGATCCCTGGACAAATTGCATGCAAGAGACTTATAACCTCAGAGCTACTTTACTAAGACTCTGATATTTGATGAAGACTTTTAACTGTGATAGAAGAGTCTCTCATGTGACCTTCATGTTTATGAAGCTACTCCTGGTCATAGTCACCACCCCACATTAGGAGAAGAACCTTATCATCTGTTCTATGGCTCTGATGTTCCTGGTGCTGCTCTGGTTCATTGTCGTTCTGTGTTACATTAGGAGACCCACCTTAAACTGCCCACCTTGAACTACAAAGATTTGGCATCAGTTGGCTGTTGGTGTCCTTCGTTCTGGAAGAGGACCAAAAGGACATCACTATGTTAGAGTCAAGGTACAGACCAAGACAAGATTGGAATGCTGGGCACAAATAGTCCACATGAACATTGGGGGTGGATTCTCTAAATTTGTACATCTCACATTTCTTTTGAGCTATTTCAATTCTGCTTTCCTCATAGAGCTTAGCACCTTCTCTGATGTGGGCACGCCATGTTGAGCAATCCTGTGCCAGCGTTTCCCACGCCACACAATCAATTCCAAAGTTCTTGAGAGACCTTGAGAATGTCCTTATATCGCTTCTTCTGACCACCATGTGAGCTTTTTGCCCTGTATGAGTTCTCCATAAAATAGTCTTTTTGGCAAGCGTATGTTTTGCATTTGGTGGCCAGCTCATCGGAGTTGTGCTCTCTGCAGTTAACATGAATCAGTGAAGACTTGGTCCTTGGTCCTTTGGAAGGTGGAAAAGACTGACAATTTCTTTCTGCTGTTCTCTACATTTTTATTTTGTGTAATTTTGTTTTGTTTTGTTAGATTCTTCCCTTTTTTCCCTTACTGTTGCCAGCAACCATTTAAATGGTGGAAGGTCCTCTAGAACTGAGGTGTCAAATAATGGGAGTCTACATCAGGCCTACAACATCCTTGAATGTGACCTGAATCAGATTAAAATATAGTTTCTATCTGATTTTAATGTGTTAATGTATTAATAAAAAGGAAATATATAAACATATATGATTTTCTAAGTCAATATGAGGACCACAGGGATTCTTACATAATTTAGTAGCCTCTATTTCTACTTGAGTTTTATTCTAGGAAAAGATCTTGCCAACAGGAGTAGAATATGATAAGACCAATATTTTCCTGGCACAGTTTCCTTCCCTGACTTCCCTAGCCAACATGGTGACTGACAAAGCTACCCCTGGGACTAGATTGGCTCCAGTTTCCCTAATGCAGCTTCTTGCTCATTGAGAGGCATAAAAAACACAGACACACAGAACCTAGCTCTTTCAGACTTGGTAAGTGCCTAAGACCTCTCAAATCTCCATACTCTGAAGATCTGCTGATCAGATACACTTCTATGGGGAGATGAGGGAGGCCACATCTACCCAAAGCCCCAGATAAATGCCTCCACATCCTTGCTGTGCCAGGATAAAGCAACCTACTTCTATTAAATGATCAATGATGGGGCAGCTAGGTGGCACAGTGGATAGGGCACTGGCCCTGAAGTCAGGAGGACCTGAGTTCAAATCCAGCCTCAGACCAAACACTTGACACTTACTAGCTGTGTGACCCTGGGCAAGTCACTTAACCCCAATTGCTTAAAAAAAAAGTGATCAATAACTTATGAGTGCCTCCTTTCATCCCTAAATCAAGCATGAGCTAAGAGAGTGCTGGTGTTAGGAGTTCTGCCTCTAATCCTGGCCATTTCACAGCTCAGCAGCCTCAGTCTCTGCCCCCAAATAACTTTTAGGAGGGCAGAATTGGTACAAGCTGAATGCTGGATATTTCCTTCAGGCTTAGTGGGGAATCACACAAACACATCCACATGGCCTATCTAAGTTCCTTCCATTCTTCAGTTCTCTGAATGGGCTCATTTGTGACACAGGGCATTAGCACTTCTTACTTCTTCCACCAATGTCTGAGCAAATTTCTGCTGAGGCAACTGAGGTGAGGAGGAAGGGTAGATAAAGATAAGGAGTTGGGGGTCAAGTTGAATTCTGTTGTAAACCTGTAGCATGGTGGGAGATAGAGGAGGGATACTGAGTGAGTGGTTAGGTACAGAGGTGGGGAACCTGCTGCCACAAGGCCACACGTGTCCCTCTAGGTCCTCAAAAGGTGGCCCTTTGATTGAATCCAAACTTCACAAAGCAAACCTCCTTAATTAAAAGATTTGTTCTGTAAAATTTGGACTTGGTCAAAAAGCTGCATCCAAGGACCTAGAAGGCCACATGTGGCCTCAAAGCCACAGGTTCCCCACCCCTGGACTGTTAGGAGTTAAGGATTATTATGTTAGTTCATTGGGTTTTTACTTCATTTGGGTTCTTAGTGTTCTAGACTGTGGAGAGAGTTGAAATTGTTTTTTTCTTGTGCATCATTCCTATTTTGGAGAAGTTTGAGAAATCATAAAGATCAGAGAAAATGCTCAGTCCTCTATCTTGTTGGTCACATGACCCAGAAAAATAAAGACATAATTTTTCATTGATGATTACATTGGTCTTTTCAGCGTATGTTGTTCTGTGGATGCATCTTAATCTTTATCTTTTTTTTAGAATATCATATTTCAATTACTTCTCTGATTCATCATACATGAAGAGTAATTCTGGGCATTTTCATAATCCAGATATATTTTCCTTGATAGCTGAAGGCTTATGTTCAGGCTGCCTGCAATATTTGTTGTTTGATATTGAACTTCTCAAATTGAATGGCTAGATTCTTTGGTGACAGAAGCTGCAATCTTGATCAATGATCTTGGAGTGCTTTGCCATTTCTTTCTCCAGTTCATTTTACAGATGAGGAAACTGAGGCAAACAGGGCTAAGTGACTTGCTAGGGGTCACAGAGCTACTAAGTGTTTGAAGCCGGATTTGAATTCACGGTTTCCTGACTCCAATCCCTGCTCTCTATCCACTGCACAACCTAGCTGCCTTATCAGTGATCTTAGAGTCTTCCAATATGCGCTTTGCCCTCTAGTTTTACTATGTTTGGGACCACTTTACTTCACTATTTCCTGCTGTAGTGATCTTGGGTTTTCAAATTTGTCAGTTTTCCCCTCATGATTGTTACAGTCTTTAAATTATTTCTGAATATCCCAACTTCAAGGTCAGTAGTTTTGGTTTGCACATAACTAAAGTATTTTTTCCAATATTGCTTATTTTATGGTTATTTTTGAAAATGTTCTTTCAGTTTTCTATTTTTGAGTTCCAAATATGTTATTCTCTTTTTTCAGAGCATCCTTTTGGAGAGATATTCCATCATGTATTCTAAAATTTCTACTCTATTGTTTATCTTACTTATTTTTTCCTAAATTTCTTATTTTTCATACTTCCTTTAAGTGTTCTGCAGTTTCTCTCTGTTATTCCATTACTTCTTGAGATCCTATAGAATTTATTGTCATGCTTTCTTTTTCATAGTTTTTTCTGACTTACTTCCCATCACTGCAAAATAATTATTCATTATGCTGTTTCTTTTCAAGATTATTTACTCATTTGTCTTCTTTTCTTATGAGTTTCATTACTCACATGCTTTTCTGAAATGAGAAGAAAACAAAAGCAAATATTAGTGCAGCTAGTTGATCAATTATAGATTTCAAAAAAACAACTATTTTAAATTAAAATTTTTAATAATTTCTCAAATTGGTCTTTGGTTTCCTTCTTTGTTAAATCTTTTCGCTTAATGTTTTAAAATATTCATTTAATATATAGCAAAATAGCCTAAACCACCCCCTCATACATAGCTTTTCTTTTAGTTCTCAAACTGTGAACTTTAGCTATGAGATGACTGAGATATTACTCTAATGAACTCCATTTTAATTTTTATTATTTTGTTATGAAATGAGATTTAAGCAGCACATTTCATCATGACAGTGATTTAATTTGGTGATTTCTTTTCTGTGACAGCAATTCATTGATTTACTTCTTGATATAAAGTAATTTTTCCTCTTTTTTTTAATCTCTCAAACTTTTTTTCCACCAATCAAGGAAGTTACTCCAGAAATACAATGAATTATTTATGTTTGTTTTAAAGGAATTATAGAATGAAGATATGCATTTTAAAAGGGATGTCAGTGTCAAGCCATGGGCTACAATAAGGACCAGGATCAAACCTAAACTAGCCCATTAGGGCAGCATAGTAACCTTATGTCCTAATAGCAATATCAAGAGCAGAGTCCAGACTCAATTGGAGGATATTAGCAAGATTTGAAGTCAAATTAGGCTACCTTGAATTGGTGATTAAAGGCCATGTTTCACGTGGACAGTATCCAGAAGTTCAAACAGAGCAAGAAAGCACAATGATAGGGAAGAATGTGTAGGCAGAGTTTGAGATTCAAGCCAAGCACAAGAAAATAGATAGGGAAGGAGCTCACAACAGGAGAGAGGGGCAACATGCCAAGATCTAAGCTATGCAGGCATGTTCATACAATAGCGTGATTGGGATGTGATTTAGACTTCCAGGACAGGGACTAATGGCTCTGTGGCTCTGTTTGAAGTAGCCTTCTTGCTATGGGCAGAAAAGGGTTAGTGAGTATGGGCTGTTTGCTGACATAAAGTAGGATTTTGAAAGAACTAGTGATTGTGGCAGAGAGCTAGAATCTTCAGTGAATCTTCACAGGCCCAATGAGAAAATATTTGTAAAATTAAAATTAGGATTTTTTTTTCTTTAAATGCTATTTAAAGATATTAAGTTGTTTATTGTATTAAATGGATTATATTGAATATCTTAATAATGTTAAAATTGGTTCTTGTTATTATTTATTGGGGATAGTTAGGTGGTGCAATGTATAGAGCACTGGGCTTAGAATCAGAAAGACATCTTTCTGAGTTGAAATCTGGTCTCAGACACTTACTAGCTGTGTGACCCTGGGCAAGTCACTTAACCCTGTTTACTTCAGTTTCCTCATCAGTAAAATGAGCTGGAAAAGGAAATGGCAAACTATTACAGTATCTCTGCCAAGAAAACCCCAAATGGGGTCACAAAGAGTCACACATGACTGAAATGACTGGACAACAATAAAAATCATTTATTGGATATAGTACTAAATGTCTTCTATTAGAATGATGTCAGGTGCATAAATCATTCTTTTCATTCTATATGCTAGATACTATTTTTCAGTTAATGTGTATCTAACTTGTATGAATGTGAGTTTGAATGTACTAAATGCTTAATAACAAATGCTTATCAAGTTTGGGTTCTATAACATCACTAGATGTCCCCAATTACTTCAAGAGACACCTGAAATTCTCCCACAATTCCGAAAGCAAAATAAATTTAAATTAATTTTGCTTTAAAATATTATAGCACTGAAATAAACAACATGTAAAATTTGAAGATAAGACATTTAGAAACATAGCTAGAAATGTGATCCTTTTTTGTGACAAGACCTGAGGGGGCTTTAATAATATATGGTTACACAAGTTACAATGTTGATAAAAATGCTAGAAATTTTAGATGGCAGATTTATATTCTGTGTCTTAAAAATTTTAATGGAATTTAAATTTGTATCACAGAGCAGAAAGTACACTCCAAAGGAGAGGGAGTAAGGCATAGTAGAAAAAGCCTTAGGCTAAGATTGGAGGATCTGGTTTCTAGCCCATATCTAGCACTTAGCTTTGTGATCTCAGGCAAATTCCTTACCATCTCTGAGCTAGTTTTCTTATCTGTAAAACGGGAAAAATATAAGTGCCCTATAGTGTTGATGAGATTGTTGTGAGAATCAAATGAAATACTGTATAACAAAGCACCTTATAATACGCAGAAGACCATATAAATAATGTTTTATTACTATAATCTGAGAGATCTGCTACTCAGGTACTATTCTGATCCTTCAATGCAGTGTTGAGGTGTTGTGGTTCAGTCATGTCCAACTTTCTGTTACGTCAGCAGAGCATAACTCAAGTCATCCTGATTCTAGACCTGGAGCTCTATCCACTGCACCACGTAGCTACCCCAAAGGTTATGTCAGCAAAGCATAACTTTTTGTATGTTCTCCCAAGCAGGTAAGGATATGAGTACTATGTAGCAAATTTCATAAAGTCTAATCACCAGATAAGGAATTTTTTGATGATGGCAACTCATCAAAACACTTTCTAAGGTATGAAGAGGTTTCAATCTGCTTCAAAAGGGGAAACCCTTATAATGATGGAAATAGTGAACCATCAAGGAGGTACAAAGCTAGTGTAAACTCAGTCCCCAATATATTGTGCTTTATAGTAACTCGCTTGATGGAAATTATTTTTCTAGAAAGTTTTCTGGGTTAAAAAAAAGAAGAAATCAATAAAAATCTCCTAGTTTTATGCTATTAGCCTCTCTCCCTCTTCTGCCAACACTAAATTCATTGACCTTTCCTTTTAAAAATTTAGACATTATGCCATTTGATGAAAATATATTTAATTTTTTTGCTGCTTTTCAATAACACAGTGACATAGTGGATAGAGACCTTGTCTCAGCATCAGGAAGACCCAGGTCCAAGTGCTACTTCTGACAAATAATGGCCATGTGGCTGTGGACAAGTCACAGACTCTATGTTGCAGAGAAGGTAAGTGATAGATTCCAGTAGAGGGAGCTGTTCCCTGTGGGCTCCCTATCCTGAGAAAAGTCAAGAACCTAGGCCAAAAAAAAAAAAACAAAAAAACCACAACAAAACATTTTCCCCCCCACTGTCTATGGTGCCCTTCAACTTTTGTCATTATCATTTTTTGTCATCTTTGCCTATCTGATGAAAGTGTGATGGAACCTCCGAGTTGTTTAATTAGCATTTCTCTATTAGTCATTTGGAGAATTTTTTTTTAAATGACTATTGATAGCTTGAGTTTCTTCTTTCAAAAACTGCCTGTTCATTTCCTTTGTAAGATAAGGAATATCTACCAGAAGGAGTTCTGCTTCCATAGATATTGCCAAAGAAGGAATTTGTTAAAGAATGGAATGTTAACAGACAAGCACATCCTGTTTTGCAAGATTGATAGTCAGAGACCCCTAGCTTCAAGGAACAAGATGGACTGAGAATGTGCAAAATGTCTGGAACTCAAGGGTTATTGTCCTGGTCACCGAGTCCTAACTACCCCACGTGCTTAATTAGCTTCATTAATATTAACTGCCACACCTATACATAAATTATCCCTCCATTTTCTGAATATGGGTCGCATGACTAGGGCAGGGCAACATGTCAAGGAGGACATGTAGACCGGAAGAGTTGGGACCAATGCCAGCTTCAAAGGGAGGAACCAGGAAGAGCTAACCATATAAAGCTTGCTCTTGCTTCCGTCCAAGTGTGTGTGTGTCCTTCTGGGGTACCATATACCCACTTCTTTCCTTCATTCACTTCAATAAACATTTCCTTCACTTCAATTTAAGTTTTGTTTCTTAAGGTAGGACAGAACTCCTCATGGTATGTTTCTAGGGGAGCAGCGAGCTGCAGCTGCATGCTTGGGCTAAACCCCTAACCCTACTAAGGAGTGACTGAACCCCGTTTCTCACACCTTTGACCATTTATCATTTGGAGACTTTTCCTTTATTCCCCTAATCTAATTTTTGATTAGATCTTCTTATTTTTGAAGAGATCTATCCTTCACATTTAGGGTTTTCAACGTTTTCTATTTTGTTCCATAAAGATATACCTGTTTATGTATTTGTGCATAAATAGATGCATGTGTTTCTTCCTTTTAAAGTTAGGATTGAGTCTCTGGGTTTTGTTTTTTTTGTTTTTTTGCTTACACTAATCCAATTTCAGTCTCCTCATTTCAGCTTCTCCACCTCCCTTTAATCAGCTCTCCCCCCCCATTTCCTTGAGTTTACTTTTATTGTTATTTTCTCTCTTTCCCAGATCAGATGAGTATGATACCTGTTCTTCCCTGTCACTCTGAACTCTAGGATCAAATATAAACTTCATTTTTGGCAGCTGTGGTCCTTCATAATCTGGCCCCAAACTAACTTTTCAACCTCAACACACATTATTCTCCTCCTCCTACTCTATGGGTCCAGTCAAAATAGATGTTGTTTTTCACACATTCTACTCCATCTCCAAACTGCATGTATCTGCAGTATCACTCATCAATCACCACTGCATCTTGAAATCTCTAACATTCTTCAATTCAGTTCAAGCACTACCTTCTGTATGAGTACTAACCCGATCCTTATCTGAAGCCACAAGTGCCGCACTCCCCCTTCCCACTCCAAGGTTGTGATGTATCTTGTTTTGCATTTTGCGTATGGCTGAATATGATCATGTTATCTTCCCAGTTAAAATGTAAGAGGCTTTTTCTTAAGAAAGGCAAAAAGGAGTTTTGTTGCTTTCTCATGAGAAAGTACACACCCAACATAGCTCAAGATGGCTCCAGCCAGGGTATGCAAGAGAGTGCAGCTCAAAGCCAATTTATGTAGACCCTAAGGCGAAACACCCACCGACCCACTAGCTCCTCTTCCCATTGGCTGGGCTTCAGAGCTCACAGTCTAAGCGCAGAAACTTTTCCCCAGCAACAAGGTTTGCAAAAAGGCGCGAAACAAGGAACTGTTGGTTCAGTGAGAAAGTAAGAT